GGCCTGAGCCCGATTTCGCGGCCATCTTCGTACTGCCGCTTGCTTCCGCTGCAGTGCCCTCGCCGCGGCGACGGGGGCGCTGTGGGAGAGTGGAGATCCGCTTTCGCCACGGCGGAAGCATCTTCGTCGGTTCGCGGTTGCGTTGGCGCGGTCCACCAGCCGCCCCGCGACGTTGTTGTGACGTCCTGCGCCGAGCGGGCGTTGTCACCTGCTTCGAGGCACCCGCGCGCCCATGCAGCTAGCGCGATCCCTCGTCACGGTGCATGTCGTCCTGTCGCTGCAAGTCGTCCGGGGCCACAAGGTGCGTTGACGACGCTGGAGTAGTTCTACGACCCTTGTGCGCTCGAAATGCCTGCGTGCGATGTCGGGGTCGAGCAGCGGCCTCCCGCCACCGGCCAGCTCGTCCTGCGCCCCTCGGGTTGCGCGAGAGGGTCGTTGTGCTCGGAGAGCTTGTGCGTCGCGGGGCTGGTCGATAGCGCTGTTGCGCGGGAGCACCTACCCCCGCACCGCGCCGAGTCCGGCCGACGCGCGACAACGGCGGAGTGCCGTGTCGACATCTGCGGCCGCAAGGGTCCTGCGAGGAGATCCCGCACTCGCAGTCTGCCATGGCATGACTCCCCCGTGCATGCGCGTCGCCGGGCTGTGGACGCCGCGGGCCGTCATGAGGTCGCGCGAGGGCATGTGCATGGCAAGCATCAAGCGCTGTGCAGAGTCGTCCTAGGATCGTGCAGGACTGTCGACGGGAGGAGCACTCACGGGCGAGCACTCACTCGGGGGTGCGCTCTCTGGAGCGTGGGAGGCTGCACGAGCATATTGCGCGGCCATCTTGGCGTCAGAGGTGTGAGGCGTTGCGCACGACACCCTGTGATGGGACAGAGTCGGGTGTTCGGACTCTCTTCAGGTAGAAGGTGCGACATGAAGGCTGCTCCACACTTGCAGCAGGTCCCTGTGCTTGCTTGTGGAGCACACGTCCAAAATCGCATGGAACCGGGACAAACGTCTCTTCAGGAGCGCCCAGTTCACTGAGAATCACCACACAGCACCCCTCATGGTCGCAGGCGGCGCGGCACCCACCTTCCGCAGCAAAGCCACGGCCACGCGGCGGTCCCAGGAACGTCGTTGGCGACTGGACAGCGAGCAAACGCCGATATATTCTAGTAACATGCGTTTAGGCAGCCTGGCGTGTCCGGGAGCTCTACCAGGCGAGGGAACGGGCCCAAAGGACATTTTCTGAGCGCCCAGCCGCGCGGGACGACACCATCGAGATTCCCGCGCCGCGACGCGTTGAACAACGCGCCAATCATGGTAAGGACGACTTGTTCCGGCCGCTACATGTCCAGCACGCGTCTGTACGAGCGCAGCAGGCATCATTGAATCTCGTGTTCCCATCGCCTCACAACAATGCTCTTCCGTCTCCGTTCGATCGCGCAGTTGCGTCGCGGGCTATCCGCTCAGCTGTTCAAGCGCGTGCTGTCGGAGGTGCCGGCCATCCTCAACGATCTATCGAGCGACGACAAGGTCCATCTGGCGGCAACATGCTGGGGCGCGCTCGAGGCGGCGCTCCGCGGCAGCCGAACGGTCCTCGCAGTTCATCCGGACGATCCGGTGCTGCACGTTCTCGCGCGCCAGCTGCAGGACGGGCCGTGCACGGGCCTGCTCGACTTCTGCAGCGTGCAAGTGCCGGCGACGTGCGCCGGGGCGCTCCTTGCGGTGATACGGGAGCTGGGCGAGGACCTGCCGACGCGCAGCGACGACGAGGACGCGTGGCACGGCAAGTGGACCAAGCTGATGTGGGCGCTGACGAGAGCGGCATGCGCAGTTGCGCCGTTCCGTGGCGAGAGCAGCCGGCGCGCCGGGATCGATCGGCGCATCCCGTTGCACAGCAGGAGCGTTGCGCGCTTGCTGACGGGCGACGGTGGCGTATCGGTGCGCGTGCGTCGCGTGCATAGCGAGGTACGCGGACTGACAGGGCTGCTCGCGCCCGTGGCGCTCGGCTGCGTGCGTGCGCGACAGCGACGTCAACGCGCTGAATCCGCGAATGGGGCGGTCGTTCCTGGTGCTTGGCGGCGCTGATGATCATGGACGACGTGAGCGGCGACGCTGAGCACGGCAGCGGGCGACCCGATCTGGCGCAACGGAGGCGGGAGCGACCTGTGGCATGCACTGCATCGGCGCTGGTTGCAGAGCAGGTGCGCGGGGAGCGCGGCGGACGGCGGCTCCGAGTGGGTGGGTGTGCGGTGTGTGTGGCGCGTGCACGCGATCATGGAGCGCATCCACGACACGGACACACGGTGCGCAGAGCTGCACATGGATGGCGCGCGGCAGCCTGCCGGCGGGACGCGGGGCGCCAGCGTGCGGCTCGCCGAGGATCTGTCGCTGGAGGAAGCGTTGCTCAGGGCGGCGGGGCGCGGCAAGCGGAGCGGGGGCGCGCTCGCATGGCACGCAGTCGTGCGACGCACACAAGCTGGTGGAAGCGCTACAAACGGCGGAGGGGTGTATGACGGTGAGCGCCCGGGCCGCGACGCACGCCCGGGCGATCGATCCGATTGCGCCACCGCCACGTCACGTGCGATGCCCGTTTCGCGCGACTGCAACAGTGCGCGCACAGCTCGTGCCCTCGCAGGGGATGTTGGAGGCGCGCATGGCCAGGGTCGTTGCGGAGCACAACGTCGCCATCGCGGCAAAGTCCGCGCTGCGAGCCCCCATATTGCGCCTGCACGTGCTGCGGCACCCCAAGCACGACGCGAGCATGGCGACGCAGGTGCTGGTCTCGTTCGACGACAGCGACCGGGACGTCGTGGTCGCCCGCGGCCGCGACCAAACCACCGTGGACCTGCAGGCGGCGGCGATCGCGTGGCAGGGCGGCGCTGCGGCGGGCGCCGAAGTCTACATACAGGGCGTGGTGTGCCTCGCGACCGTCGACGGAGACCGGGGCACGCCGAAGGTGCTCGCGGTGCCGGACGCGTGTCTCGCCAAGTAACCGCAGCGGGGGCGTCGTTGGAGGAGAGTCGAAGGTCGCAGGGAGCCCTCCGCAGCCGGAGGTCATCGTGTTGCAAGGTGAGCTGGCACGCGCCGCGGTGATGACGCGCTGCGCGCGCATGCAGCCGCACGCAGCTCTGGATGCTGACCCTGCGAACGCGAGCGTGCGGCTGTCCCCGCAGACTCGTGCGCTGCGCTGTCGCGACGGGAGCTGCTGCCACGCACGCGCGATCACACACGTGGCGGTTGCGAGGGCGGCCTATGTCTCGTGTACGCCGCGCCCCGCCGCCTGTACATTCTCGGTCTGGAGGACGACGAGGGCGACGAAGCGTTGGACGAGCACTGATCGGTGACATGTGCGTTCGTCGGCGACGGAGCACGCTGGTGGCGTCTCTGCAGACCACCCTGGTCGCCACGGACGGGTCGATCGCTGCCTCCGAACGACACGGCTGAGGAGCTGCGTGGATCACGCCGCGCAGCAGATGGCGTGAGCAGCGCGGCTGCCTTGCACAGATGACGTAAGCAGCGCCATCGCCAAGCTGGCTGTCTTGCTGCCCCCGGGGCCAGCTGTTGGGGCGGCGGCAGGCTGCCGGATACAGCGCGCGTGTTGTTACCGGCGGGGACGGCGCGCGGCTCGACCCGGCGCGGCCCTGCGCGGCGGAGGCGCCCGCGCAACGATTGCAACAGGGGCAGGGCGACAAGAGGCGGCGCATGCACTAGGCGGCGGCGGCACGGCGTCACGCATACGGGCCGATGCAGCGGGACGTGTCGGGTGCGTCGAGTGCTCGCGTTCGAGCCGCCCTGGCAATGTGCGCCGGTGTCGCTGGCGCACGCATGGGCATGCCCTGGTGAACGGCGAGGCGGTCCCTGCGGCGTGGCTCGTGCGCCCCGACGATGCGCATGGACGGACAGCCTCGATGCCTGCGCTGGCAGCGGACGAAACGTCACGGCGCGGCGGCACGACGCGGAGGCAGCTGCCCATTTGGGGCACTGTTTGCGGCACGGCAGGAGCGCCGTGCACGTGCTGGCAGCTGGCCCGTGGATGAAGACATCGGCGCTTCAGGCGGCGAGGTGAGCCGCGGAGGGAGCGCGGCCCATCAAAGCGGGCAGCGCGCAGCGACGCATCATTGCGGGGCGAGGCGCACGCGGCGGCGACGCCGAGCCCAGGCGACGAAGCTCGGCGCACAGAGCCTCCGTCATCTGAACTCTGTGCAGGCGACGACGCCCGTCCAGGGGCGCTGCCCGCGCCGGCGCTGGCGGGCGTGGTAGGTGATGACATCGCAGGAGGCGCATGAGCACGGTGCTGGCCGCGGGACGAAGGCGGCACGCCCCGGCAGCGAGCGACAAGACGGGGGCCGGGCTTTGAGTGGCGCGCGGGACCAATGCGTTCGGCGAACGTGGTGGGGAGCGAAAGAGCCTGCAGCGTCGATGCGGCAGGGAGTGCGGCCGCGGGGGGGCACGAGGGGCTCGCTGGGACGCTGATCGTGCCGCGCGAGATGCAAGTGGCGCGTGCAAGGCCGATATTGGCGAAGATCGTGGCGTGCCCGCGGTGCTGCGGGCAACGGGCGTGACGCAAGGATGCAAGCAACGGCGAGTCGTGCGCGGCGGCGACGTCGATCCCGGTCGATCAGTGCCCGCGCAGCGAGCGTCCGTCGTTAGTACCGCGCGGGAGCGACGGAGCGTTCCCACGGAGGCTGCCTGCGCCGGCGCTGCGGGGCGCGCGAGGTGGTGACGTTGCGGGGGGCGCTTGAGCACGGCGCTCGGTGCCAGAGAGCAGCATGCGTCGGCGACGAGCGGCGAGATGAAGGTCAACAGATGATCGCCGTGCATGGCGCCTGCGACCCATCAACGTGGCGTGGACCGAGGCGGGCGACTGCGACGTTGTCGAGCAGGGAGTGTCGCCGCGGGGGGGCGCGGAGTGGCCCGCTTGCGCCGTGGCAGTGGCGTTGGGCGAGCGCGAGGCTCGTGCTTGTCGGCGATCGTGGTGTGCGGGCCGTCAAGCTGGAGGTCGGCGCTCCGCGATGTACGTGACAACACCGTGCGCCAGTGGCGAGGTGCGCGAGGGGGCGACGCCGAGCCCGGGCGGACGACAGCCGCGCACGGAGCGCCCATCATCTGTGCTGCGCGGGGTCGACGACGCGCGCCCGGGGGGGCTGCCGGCAGCGGTGCTGCGAGGTCTGCGGGAAACCGTGCTGCGGGAGGCGCTTGAGCGCGGCGCTGGCCGCGGGATCGGAGCAGCACGCTCCGGCAACGAGATGGGCTGGATGATGGGAGGAGCGTCGGAGAGGGCATCGTCGTCGGCGCGCCCGCCGCGGCAGGCTGGCTGCCAGGTCACATAGGGGGCGTAGAAATCTAGGTTGTGCCCGGGAGGCAACAAGGGGCGCGTTCGCCGGCATGGACGGATCAGAATCGATAGAGGACTGGCCGATCGGTCGTCTTCAAGCCCATATCTCTCCGCGGAGGTCTCGTGGCGGCGCGCACAGCCACAAACAAACAGAAGTTCCGCCCAGGCGCGTCTTTCTGTCGATCAGCGACGTCAGGCGCGTGCGTGGCTGCACGGAAGTATCAACAACGCTGCCATCTACACGGAATGTACGCATCGGGTGGCAGAGGCGGGCGCGGGCTCGGGCGCGGGCGTGGGCATGGCCGCAACGGTGGAGACCGCGATGGCGGGCGGAGTGGCAACCAAGGCGGGCGTGGGAGTGCGCGCGATCACTTTTCGAAGGATGACAAGGCCGACAGGGCGCATCGCTTCCTGTTCGCGGTCACACGCGAGGACGCGCGCCCCCTCCACGCATCAAGCGGGCCTCCGAGGTTCGTGCGGGCCCTGCACGACCTGGCGACGAGCGGTGCCCCGCAGGCCGCCCTGAACCTGCTGAGCGACCAGTCCAGCTCGGGTCTGCTGCGTCTCGCCGAGGCCCTCGACGTCCCGGGCGACGGGTGTTTGCCTGCGACGCTAGGGGTGCTCCTGGCGCTCCGAGAGGCCGGCGCCGTGGGCATCGGCGCGACGGCGGCGGGCGCGGGGCCCGTCCAGGTGACGCTGCTGCGGAGCTGCCGCTTCGTCGACGCCGCGCGGCAGCTGTCGCACGCGTCGGTCGTTCCTCCTCCGGGGGGGTTCCTGGCCGTGGCGGATCCGGACGGGGTGCGCGTGGGCGTGCCCGAGGCCGCGTCGCTCTTGCTGCAGGGGATGATGTCGAGCGTACAGGGCGCGGAGGGTGTGCTCACGTCCGACAAGCTGGCGGAGCTTGTGGCAGCGGCGGAGGCTATGTCCGGCGTGGTCGGCGCGCCGGACGCGGGCTCCGGGGCGGCTCTGGCAACACGCGAGCTCGAGACGCTCGTCGCGATGCTGGAGCGGCGCAGCGCCGAGTTCACCGCGGCGCTGCAGCGGCGGGACCGCGCCGCGCAACGCGCTGCGCAGGATGCCGACGCCGTGCCTGCACGGTGCAATGCTGGCGCTGCTGCCGCGGACGGGGGCGCGCCGCGCCCCCCGGTGCCCAGGGCCTTCGCCGCGCTCGTGGCTGCGGAGGCGGGGCTCAAGGCCGGCGTCCGTCTCAGCCGGGATGTGGCGCGGGCTGCGCGTGTCGCGCCGCTGCTGCTGGTGACCGTGCTGGTGGCGTGCCGCGCCGTTGGCGGCGTCGTCGCGGCGCTGGAGGAGGTGGAGGACGGCGGCGCGTGCGGGGCGGATGTCGCGGACGGCGCGAGGGAGGCGGACGTCGAGACGGCTCTCAAGGTGAGGGGCCCGGACCTCGCTCCCCCCGGGCGGCCGCGTCGTGCTGCCCCGGACCACTCTCCCCGCCTCCGCGCCGCCTCGCGCTGATGTCCCCAGGACGACGGCACGCGCTGGCCGCCCCGGGCGGAGCTGCCGCTCGCGCCGCTGTTGCCCGCGAGTGGTGGTGCGCGCGCACCCCCGACCCCGCCAGGGCCTCCGACATCGCCGCGCCTCCTGTGCCGGCCCGCCGCGTGTGCAGGAGCACAATATGGCGGCCGAGGACCCGGAGGAGACGGATGGGTCGCACGTGGTGGTGGGCAAGGCCGGGCGCAAGGCGCTGGCCGCGCTGGCCAAGGCGCTGGCGGTGCTCGCCGTCGCCATCCTCCACGAGCGCGAGCATCCGGCGATGGTGAAGTCGACCTCGCCGGGGCAGTGCGTGTCCCGCGCGGTGGCGAGCCTGCTCACGCGGACGGCGACGGCGCGCTGCTGCCCGGGCGCGGCGGGGCGGGCGGGAAGCGAGGCGTGCCGCCACTGCCATCCGACGGCGCAGCAGGAAGGCGCTCCCGCGCCCCGGCGGACCTCCCCGCGCGGCGGCGTGCCGGCCGAGGCCGGCGTGCCGCAGCCCCCCGACGCGTGGGAGCGCGTCGACCTGCTGCTGAAGGCGCTGACCGACCCGGGGAGCGTGTGGGACAAGGCGGGCGACGCGTACGCGGAGTGCGTCTGGGCGGGGCCCGAGAAAGCCGGGGGCCAAGGCGGGCTCCTGCTCGGCATGGCGAGCGCTGTCGCGGATGCCTTAACCACGAAGCGGGAGTCGCTTGCAGAGGCGTCGACGTACTGGGCCGACAAGGTGCGTGCCCGTGCGGCTGTCGGCGTCGCCCGCGCGGCGACACGCGCCTGTCGCAGCGCCTCAGGGTCCTCCGTGCGTGCGCCTTCTGCGTCGCAGGGGTGGGCCTGGTCCGCGGCCGTTGCCCGGGACGCCGAGAAGGACATCGACGAGGGGGCGGTGGCGCGCCAGTGCGGGCCCTACAGGCTGCTCGACTCCTATCTGGAGGAGGCGCTGGAGCTGGCGTGGCGCTGCCCGGGCGCGAAGAAGGACCGCGTGCCGGGGAGGACGAACGTGCGCGACGAGGGCCGAGAGGACTCGCGCCGCAGCGGGCGGGTGGCCGCGTCGAGTGCCAGGGCGGCCGAGAGGACGGCTGCAAGGGCGGCCGCTGCAGAGCAGTCGACGTCGCAACACCACCCTCGGCCCAAAACGGGGAGGAAGCGCGCGCCGACCGACGACCCCGCCGGGATCGGCGGCCGTTCCGCGGGAACGTCAAAGAAGCGCGCCCGCGCGGACGGGGGCCAGGCGCCTGGCGGCGAGGGGCCTGCTTTGGCGCGGTCCAGGGACGGCGGAGCTCGCGCGGTCGAGGGCGGCGACGGCGGCGGCGGGGGCCGGGGGAGCGATGTCGAACAGCACTCCGACGGTGCAGCCGGCTCGCCCGCGCGTCAGCGGGGGGCGGGTGCGGGTGGGGACCCGCAGCAGCGGACGCCGGAGGCTGCCGGGTCCGGGTCCGGGCTCCGCGGCGACGGGGTGCTCACGGTGCGGCACGACAAGGAGCCGAACGCGGTGGCGGTGGCGGCGCGGCGGATCTCGGATGATGCGCTCTCGCTGGACGCGTCGCTGCTCCGCCTCTTCGCCGTGTCCCACGGGCTGGTGACGTCCAAGGCGGCGGCCGTGGACGTGCTGGCCGGGGACGACGACGACGGCATGGTGCAGCTGGCGGCTCGTGTGCGCGGCGCTCTCCAGTCGGTCTCGCACGGGCTGCGCATTCTGGGGCTCGCGGACGTCCACGACCCGTCGGAGGTCGCGACGGGGTTGATGTGGCCGCATGATGCATCCTCGCCTCACGAGTTCGTCGCGAAGATGGCCGAGGTGCGCCCCGGCCCGCAGGCGGGCGCGTCCGTTCCGGCCGCCGCCCCGGCGCGGTCTTCGGCGACGGCCGCTCACGTCCCCCCCCTCTCTTCCCCGCGCGTGCAGGTCGGCGGCGCCGACCCCGGCGCGATCGTCCTGGCGCCACGGCGCTTGGTGCCTCTGCGCCCGGCCGACGCGGAGGTCATCCGCGCCGCGGAGGCCGGGCGCAGGGCGGGGGTCGCGGCGATCTGCGAGCAGGAGGAGTTCAATGCCGCGACGATCAAGGACAGCGAGCTGCGCGGCGAGGGCTTCTCGGGCGTGGTGGGCGACGCATGCGTGGCCCCCTACGCGCACCCCCCCTTCCTCTCTCGCCCGCCCCCGGCGGACGTTCCCGTCCCTGGGAGGTCCGACGTGGTGCTCTGCAGCCAGACGCGCGCCCCGCACCCCGCGGACTACGCCAAGCGCGCCGAGAGCGCCGAGGAGGCCAACTGCAGGTGGTTTACGCGTGGGCGGGCCAAGGCCCGCCCGGACGGGGCCGCGCCGGCGCGTCTCACCGACGAGGAGCTCGCCGACGTGTGGCTGCCGGGCCTGAAGTTGACCAAGCCCTTGGGTCGGGGCGACGCGCTCGTGCTGCCGCCGGGGCGGCCGCCCTGGCCGGCCGCTTGGGAGGACAAGGAGCCCGGGACGTGAGGGCGCGCGAAGGAGTGCAGCGCGACCGTCTCAGCGGCGCGGCTGCGTCCGGGGTGGCCGCGGGCGCGGGTCCGAGGCGGCGCGCGGGCTGCGCGTGTGAGATCGGCGTTGCACTTGCGTGTGCGTGCCGACGTGTCAGCACGGGCGGCGTGTCGGCGCGTGCGGCGTTTGGCGGCGGCGCGCGCACGGTCGCGGGCGGCGCGCGCCGGCTGGTCGACGGGCCGCGCCGGCGGGGCGCGTGCGAGAGGTCGTCCTTGGTCTCCGCGCGCTGAAGATCGAGCACCCGGAGAATTCGCGGTGCAACGGACAGCACCCACAAGCCCCTGTCGTGCCTGTCATGTGGCGTTGGTCCCTGGCTGGCGCCTCCTGACCCGCTCCAGGGGTGACAACGTGCAGCGCCGGCTCGCGACCATCCCTCCACCCCGGCGACCAGCGCCGGTACCTTCGGCGAGGATGAGGGTGCCTCGCCCTAGGCTTTCGTGTCCATCGGTAGCGCAGCGACCGTTGGCACTCTTCACGGGCCGTTCGGGATGGCGAGGGGGCCTCGGCCGCCCCTGCCTCCGCAGGCCGCACGGGGCAGGTCTCCGGTCTGTAACTCTCTGTCTCTGTCTGAGGTCGTTTGCTTGCGGTGGTAGGTGTCAGGGCACTGACCTATCTGGGCAGTACCCTGGCCAGCAGATGCTCGGCTCCAGCGGACCGAGCGAGCCAGGAGAAGCCTGGTCTTAGTCTGCTGAGGGCCCGCAACCACTCGAATAGAGATGTGATGTCTCACAAGTGTGTCGAACTGCCCCGGCACGGGTGCCGCGCGGCCCTATGGGCTGGCGCGTCTGGAGCCTCTCAGTTGGGATACTCCCCCTGACGTGGCAATCTCCTGACACGGCCCCCTTTGGGAGGCCGGCGTCCCCGCGGCCGAAGCAAAGTAGAAAGAGATTGATTAGTCACGCGTACGTCTGCGCTTGGGCGGCCGCGCCTCGGGGTACTCCGTCACGTGCCCCGTCGTGCGGTTCACGGCCGTCTTTGGCAAGCCGCGGCACGTCGTGAACAAGACATCGCCCCGGAGGATTTCCTGTGCGGAGGGGAGAGGGACCGGCCCGCCGTAGTCGTGCGCCATGCGCTGCAGGCAGCGTTCGGCCGACTCCTCGATCTCGACGCACTGATCCAGCGGTACCCACGAGTTGTAGCCTGCGTGGAAGTTCTTCCACGACAACAGCAGTTTCTGGCGGCCGTGGCGGACTCGGAATCCAAGTACGCGGTCCACCTCGTAGTCGTCCTCGTTGTCGTACGGCAAGAGGCTCCCCGTGGTGTTGCCCTCACGGTCGAACACGTCGGGATGCCAGAGCTTGAGGCGGCTGGCGTTGAAGCCGTTGCGGATCTGCATAGCGTCGGCATCGATGTCGAGGAAGAACTTGGTGCGCGGCGCGTTAAGTCCAATCACCTTGAACGGACCAATCCACTTCTCGCGGAGTTTTCCCTTCGCCCCGCGGAGGATGATGTTGTCCGTCGAGAGTATGACGTGGTCGCCCACGTTGAAGGGCGGTTTGTTCTGCTCGCGCGCTCCGGTGCGGCGATCGGCTTGCGCGCGCTGTTGTTCTTGAGCGTGGTCGATCGCTATCAGGGCAGCGCCCCACGCGTCCCGCATGTGATCGACGAAGTCCGGCGCGCTGCGGTCCGGGTTGGGCCCGGCCAGTCCGATGCGTTGTGCCAGGATGTTGAGCGGCGTAGCGATCTCTCTGCCCAAGTTGAGATAGAACGGCGTGAAGTCCGTCGAAGGGTGCTTGGAATCGTTGTAGGCCACCTGGATCGCCGTGAGCTTCTCGGGCAACGCGGACGGGTTCCGGGCCGTGTACGCCCGCAGCGCCGTGACGACCGTCTGGTTCGTACGTTCGGCGGCGCCGTTAGCGCGGTGGTTGTATGCGGCCACGAAGTGCAGCCGCGTCCCGCAGAGCTGCTGCAGCTCCCGCCAGAACTCGCTAGTGAAGCGAGGATCGTTGTCGGACACGATGACCTCCGCCAGGCCGTGGTTGTGTGGTGCTTCACGGTGGTGCTTCACGACGTGATCAAAGTAGACGTATGCCAACTCGACTGACGTCGCCTCCTTCGTCGTGGGGATGATCTCGATCATCTTGGTGAGCGAGTCCGTGAACGTGACGATGGCGTCGTACTGCCGGTTGAACCGATCCCGTCCGAGTGGGAGGTCTGTGACCATGTCAACGTGCACCACTTGCCACGGCACTTGGCCGGGTCTTAGGTCTTAGGTCTTAGGTCTTAGGTCTTAATTTATTAGAGGTGGGTTGTATGGGTTACACACCACTTTGGCGCGCGATTGCGGCGCGCTCGCGGCTCGCACGGCCGCCGCGGGCGCGGCATGCGCGCACCCGAGGTGATTTACGTGATCTCCAGGCGCGCCGCGTCCACCGACGGTCATGTCGCGCAGCTACGACGCGAAGAGTGCAAAAGTTGATGGGTTACACGTGGGTTTCACACAGTTTGGCGGGCCGTGGCGCCGCCGTTGAGCGTGTCGGTGGAGTTTCCGCGGCACGACAAATATGCTGACACTTGCGACTACCACCTGCGAGCGCGACAACGACGCCGACTGCAGATGTCGCGGCGATATCGCGGCTGAAATGGGTCTGATGACATTTTATTATTTATATACGGCAGCCCAGGGCGGCTTGCACCCTGCTATCTCCGGCGTCGGACGCCCACGGGGCACGCGCAGGTAGCGCGCGTAGCAGCGAGCACGCCTCGGCTGCTGCCTGGGGTCCAGCGGCAACAGTTGAGCAGCTGAAACACAACAGCCTACCGGTCTTAGGTCTTAGGTCTTAGATTTTTAGAGAATGCCCCCAATGCCCCCAAGGGGTACTTTTCGGCCGCTGGCGGTCCGGTGTCCGCGACCCCGGGGCGGATTGTGTTAGCGCTGTCGGCGTCCGACACCGGGACGTCCCACGAGGTGCGCGGCGGCACGCAGCGCGACCGGGCCGCGGAGCTACGGGCCGCCGAAGTGGCGGGGCTTGTCATCAGGGGGTGGTTTTCGGGCTCTGGCGTCGCGGTGCGGGCGTTGGTGGTGCTGAATCGCGTGCCCTATTGGTGGAATACGCCGCCACGCCCGCCGCGGCAGCGAACGCGAGCAGCGCACGCGACACGGCGACGGTAGAGCGGAAAAGTGCGTGTGACATCGGCCGTCAGATACCAACTTGGGTGACTCGGCAGTCACGAAACAGAGTCTGGTCGTGACTCGGCCAGATATATATCTGATCAAATATGCCTCGTGACTCGGAAGATACCCGTCAAATAGGCATATCTGCGCCTATTTGTCGGTGCACGCTTTCTGTGATTTTTAGAGAATGCCCCCAATGCCCCCAAGGGGTACATTTCCGCCGCTGGCGGTCCGGTGTCCGCGACTCCGGGGCGGAATGTGTTAGCGCTGTCGGCGTTCAACGCCGGGGCATCCTACGAGGTGCGCGGCGGGGCCTAAGACGACCGGGCGGCGGAGCTACGGGCCGCCAAAGCGGCGGGACCAGGAAACAGGTGGTGGTTTTCGGGCTCTGGCGTCGCGGTGCGGGCGCCGTTCGCGCTGAATCGCGTGCCCTATTGGCGAAATGTCGCGGCACGCCCGCCGCGGCGGCGAACGTAGGGAATGCACGGGACACGGCGACGGTAGCGCGGAAAAGTGCGTGTGACATCGGCCGTCAGACTTGACCTTGGGTGGCTTGGCAGTCACGAAACAGAGTCTAGTCGTGAGTCGGTCAGATATATGTCTGATCAAATATGCCTCGTGACTCGGAAGATACCCGTCAAATAGGCATATTTGCAGATATGCGTCGTCAACTTGTTCGCCCATGACTGGCCTTAGCGACTAACTGGAGGGTGCAGGCATCGACGCTCCGTCCAGGCGTGAGCCTTAGAGACCGATGAGGACGACTTAGGACTCAGGACTTAGTTTTAGCGACTGAGCCGCGGCGTGAGCCTTAGAGACTGATGAGGACAACTTTAGGACTCAACACTTAGTTTTTAGCGACCGATCCCGGCCTTGACTTAGCGACTGAAGGAACAAGCGTAGTTTTAGGTCTAGTTAGGCTGGGTTCCAGGTCCGCGCCGACCCTACGACGGTGCTGGAGGGTCAGTGAGGAGCATAAGAGGGGCTCAGTGGCTTTCACAGGCCTAGGATGGCGCGTTGCTGGATTTTCTGACGGTTTCCCGGCACGTTCAGTACTTGTTCGTGCCGCACGGCTGAGAAGATGCCGCACAGCGCTCATCTCCGGGCGCGAGAGGCTCCTAAGGGGCTCTGTGTAGTCCTCGCGGGCGCAGGCCGCGTTGAGCTGCCAGGCGCGTTCGCTTGCGCGCAGGATGCCCCTGTGCGGGAGGGAGCGGCGCCGGCACGGGTTGGCCGGGCAGGAACCGCGCAGGCAAAGGCGAGATGCGTTGTTGAGGTGGCAGGGGGTGGTGAGGGGCACCGCCCCGCCCCGGCCCGCTCGCGGCTCCTCCAGCGCTATTGCTGCCGCTGCTCGGGCGCCGAGGCAAGTTTTCCCGACATGGGTCGCGTACGACTCGGAACGAGTGCGAACGGCACCGCTCGGACGGCCGATGCAGGTACGTGCCCTCGCGCCCGCTTTCCCGCCTCGCCGCGCACAGTCGCGCCGCCGCGTGTTCGCATGACGATGCTTACAACATTCTTCGCCACGCCGCGCGGGGGAATGGTGTGCGCGCCCGTCGCGGGCCCTCGTGCGGGCACCGCGCGAGCTGCCGGTGCACGACGTGGCCCCGACAGCCCACGAGGGACCGACCTGCGCCACCATGCGGAGTGTCGCACGGTCCTGACAATCTCCTTTCGCCGTGCCTCCGGAGCGCAGGTTCTGCGGGCCACCATGCGCCGCAGCACGAGTCGCTGCTGCCCTCGTCATCGTCCTCGCCCGCCGTGGGCGAAAACGAGCAACCTTCGCCGATGAGGTGAGACGCATTCGACATTCATGCATTCCGTCTGTGCCTGTCGCCTGCTCTCC